GATTGTGGTTGGGGAGCTGGACATGGAACGGGTTGCTCTTGACAGGACTCTTGGCAGACTTTGGCGGGCATGGAAGAAGAGGCTGCGCTCTCCTACTCTGGAATCGCGCCCCTTTTCGCGCAACTCTTCCGGTCATCCCAGACAGCCCACTACTCCGGAAGCCCGCGAGACCGTGCTCCCTGCAAAGGGCCTCGGTATCCAAGAAGCTCCAATCGAGGAACCCGAAATCAACGAAGTAGAGGAATACTTGAAAGCATCGGCTATCCCTCTGCCGATTGGGGATCGCGACGTTGACGAGATAGAAGTACCGGGATTGGCTTCCTACAGCGATGACGAGGAGTCGGATCATGAAGGTGCAGAGGAGCCGGCGGCGCAACGGCCAAAGAGTCTGATGATCTTTACTTCCCAGCCCAGCAATGATTTGCCCACCCCCACCACGTCTCAACCTCACACACCAACTGCTCCCTCGACTCGCAAGCGCTCAAATTCCTTGCCAACCCCGTCGCCCTCGCCTTACACGTCGCCAATTGCTAAACGCGCCCGGGCAGAGCCAATTGAGACCGGTTTAGTCGAGGAACAGGCTGGAACTGCAGACAAGGAAATCTCCACCGAGGCTGTGGAAGCCCAGTCGACCGAGACGCCGCCAGCCCAGGCTGAAGTCACCAAGCCGATCGTAGAGCAAGCGCCAGCTGAGCCTCGTGAAGAAGAGTCAAAGCTAGACTCTGACGAAGCCCCCGAGCCCAAGCCCCGCAACCCGAACCGCATCTCACAAATTGTTACCCCTGTCGTGGCGACCGCGGCGACCGCAGCAACCGCAGTTGCTGTTGCTGTTGCTTCGACAGTAAAGGCACCACAGAAGGAGACTCGGTTAGCAGAAGAAAGTGGCGACATCGATGACTTTACCGAGGAACCAGAGATCTGCACTTCTTCTAGAGTTTCCATTGCTGGGCGTAGCTCTCCGAGCATTTCCGACTCCGGCAAACCTGTCGTGGTCGCTCCTAAGCTGCTGCAAAGAACACCCAGCGTCCACTCAGCTCGCGTTGTTGACGTTCACGGGCCTAAGAGCCCTGTGACCGGCTCGAGAGCGTCTTCGGTTGACGCTTCTGACCGCTCTCAGCAGGCCAGCCTCTCCCGTGCCAACAGTGTTTCTCGCGTAACGCCACCCATCATCGAAGAGAAGCCGAAGCCAAAGTCAGTAGAGATTGAAACCATCATTCGGTCATCAACCTCGACACCGCGTACTCGGTCTCCCGTTGAGAAGCTGTCTCGCAGACAAAACACAAACGAGTCCATCTCAGAAGTTGATGAGGATGCCCAAGCTCAACCTTCACGGCTAACATCGGCTGCGTCAACTCCAACACCCCCAGCCGGTACTCCTGCAATCAGGTCTTCCCAGGCCATTTTCAATCCTTCCCAACGTACAGGGTCACCTCGTCACGATCACACTTCATCCGTCACTAAAGTCACCATCTTGAGGGATACCCACAACAACGGGCCTATCGCCGAGGAATGCGTGCCTTCGCCACGCCATCGCTCTCACGCGACGCCAACCTTGCCCGACCGCAGCGGTGGTCGCTCAGCCAACGGAACTCACTCTCCAGCGGCGAGCATCGGAGTCGTGACTGTTGAGCGATCTGCTGCTGCTGGCCGCGACTCCCCAGATCGCCCTAGACATCTGCGAACCTCTGGCTCATCTGGCTCGTCGAGCACAGGCAAGGTCAGAGCCGTAAGGACTTCGGAAGATAGCAAGGCTTCCGGTCGTGCCGATAATCTCGCTCGTAACTTCGAGGAACTCATTCAGAGTGACCAGACCATTCAGTACACGCTTACGCCGGAGAGCATGCGTGACATTGATGTGAGTAGTTTTTCTTGATTGCCTTTTTAACACGCACTAATGGGCCATGCAGGGAAATCGGGCACAGAGCGCGAGTCCGGTAGTTGGACCCAAGTCGAGGAGAAGCGAAGACGCCCGCATGGTCTTGAATGGCGAACGCAACAGGTCCGTTTCTGGCATCGACCTCCGAAGGACCATGTCTGTCAGCCGCGCAACCGGCCTGAACTCGCACCCACCCGAAGCCAAGAACAAAGGCTTCGTTCCGAAGGCACCTCCTAGCACAACCCTCACTCGGTCGCGTACCGGCGGCCCACAGGCGAGAGACGCTCGGGTACCCCGTGATACTGCGATGAACGACTTTGCCGACTTCATCAGGTCTACCGGCCCGACGGCTGACAATGGTCCTGCACCGCTACGGAACGTAAGCGGCCCACCGCCGCCCGTGAAACATAGCCTGGATTCGAGACGCATCTCGTCATCCAACAATCGGCCACGCCTTCAAGCGCGAGATGCTGCCGTTGACAACCGGGAGGATAACTCGGATCTTATCGACTTTATCCGACGAGGACCACCCAGCTCAAACAATCCCCGTATTCCTCGAACGGTGGCCCCATTCCGAACAACAATGGATTCTGACCAGATGTCGGGTGCTGTGGGTGGTAAGGCTGTTGATGCCAGCTTGCCAGACATTCGATACAGTCAAGCGTCGACCAACGTGACGGATATCACCCAGCCCTCTGTACAATCGTCGATCAACTCACAGAGCGCTCTCCTCAAGAACCGCCCCAGTGGCAACGGCTTTGACGACGACGAAATGATGCCTAAGCGCACTAGACATCGTGTGCGCGATCCGTATGCCATTGAACTTAGCGATGAAGATGAGGAGGACTACGCGCAAGCCGTTCGGCCTCCCCCAAAGAAGGAAGAGAGCTTGGCAGACTTCTTGAAGAACTACTCGCCGCCCCCCGAACCCGATGCGGCCCCTCATAACGTTCCCAAGAGGAAGGCGAGCGCTCCCAGTCTTATTGGACGCTTTTCTAGAAAGGATAGCAGTGCGGGATCGAACGGCGCAAAGCCAGCCAAAGTTGACAGTCGGCCATTGAGCGGTCGCGCTGGAGCTGCCCATGGTCACGTTCCAATTCAAGTCAACGCTCCAGGCCAGGACAAGTACGGGGCCGTTGACGCTACTGCCAACCGTGGAGCCATGCATTCCTCGGGACGCGTGCCGATGAAGAAGTTTGAGCCAAGGGAGGCTGTTTCGTCCACGAGCCGTACCAACGACCTAGCCTCATTCCTCCGCAGCTCTGAACCGCCTCAGATGAAGCCTGCGGCCCGTGCCGCTACCGGAGAGCCTCAGCAACAAAGCAGCGGTAGCAGCTTTTCCAAGATGTTTGGTCGCCGGAAGAAGTCGAGCTTGGCTTAGTTGCCCAAGCCGCGCCGGCGCGGAGCCACGACCTGAATGAAGACCACGATCTCTCCATCAAATATGGAGAAAAATACAACAATAACCATGTAGCCCCTGTTCGTAATATTGTCACGCAAGAAATCTGTCACCTGGTCACATTGTACCGAGGGGGGGAAAATCGGCACATAGCCGAGCCCGGATTGCTCTGTTTGGTTCTACCTTTTTTGTTTCTACACACTTGTGCCTTGTGCCCGATGTTTTGATACCACTCTTCCCAAAGATGGGATAGGATTTTGTTCATTTCTTCAGCGGTCTCGACGAAGGACCCTTGAGGCGGTCCCTGGCATCGTTTTCTTTGGATAATAGGACTCTTGATGGGCTCTTGGCAGTCCACATGGGCAGTGGAAGATGAGTCTAGAAGCACTTCTAGTTAGATACGCGAAAGCGGTCAACAATACCATGCTCCTCTCAAACATGATGACTTATCGCTCATGATTGAAATATGGCAAGTCAGAGGACAACTGATCCCTACATAGTAGACAGCGGCTGCCAAGTCAGGGTATGTAGGAGGGGCAGTGGACCATGCTCGGAGACTTGGAACTCTTCAACGTGGTGCTAACCATGCAGTCGTCGACTGGCAGGCCGAGGGCACATGAAGCGAATGGATCCCATTGGTCCCAGCCCCAGTGAGCCCGTTTGGACAGCTGCGGGAGGGTTGCACTGACGAATTTACCAGTACCGGACGTCTATCTCCATCGGTAAGTTCTGCCACGCCATACGAATACACCGAGTGATGTCGCGCAACGGCGGAGCGTTCCTATGGTCTAGTGTACGAAGCCACAAGCCCTCCCCCATGTTCCGTGATTTGATGGGTTGCCGTTCCCACTACAAAACGGGGAAGTCCCTCCCCCGTCTCCCGCTGCCACACGTGTCGGCACATCCAGAGCTCGCATATAGGCGGGAATTGCCCTTTTTTTTTCTTCTTTCTTGTCGTACTTACTAGCTAGCTACTACGACTAACAATCGCAAATCATGGCCGAGCCCTCTTCCACCAACCCGCTCCAGTCTACGGCTCCCACTGCTGGTCCCGCATCACCGGGGACGGCTCCGGCTGGTGGTGCTTTGCCACTGTCGACGGCGGTGCCAGCCCCGGGTGCGAACGACAACGACAACGACAACGACAACGCCAACGACCCGCCGAACCCGGCTCCAGCGCCTCTCGAACCCGATGAGGACGAAGGCAACGTCCGTTTCCCTTTTTGACTTTACCCCCCTTCTCGCTATCAATTTCCGCGAAACAAGGACAATACCTTGTGAAACTAACTGTTCGTTTTTTCTTTGGGGGTTCAGTTCACTGAAGGATCTTCTACAGCCGACGATCGCATGTGCGTGACATCTTGGCCCCTTTCTCTGCATCTCGTTTCCAACGGAGCTCACTCCCCTTTTCTTGCCATTATCCACTTTTCACTAAATGAAGACTTTCTTTCGGCACAGCTCGAGTTATACCGCCTCGCTATCTTCAAGTGTCGTAGACTATCCCATCGAATACGGACGTCGGTATCATGCCTTCCGACCGGGATGTTAGTAGCATTTTTCCCTCTCTCTCTCTCACACTTGATACATATGTACACCTCTTCTAACAGGATTGGAAATAGCGTATAAGTTTCCCAATGATGAGGTATCATAAAAACTCCCCATTAAACAAGAATGAAAACAATGGGTCAGCTAATCAGATCGTACTGTACGACGGAAAAGTCCGAGATGGATAGACTCGATTTGGCTCACGCGATGATGGCCAAGGCGATTGGGAGCAGGCTGTATAATGCGCCGCTGAAGAAGGAGAAGGTGCAGAGGATTCTTGATATTGGGACGGGCACGGGATTGTGTATGTGACGCCCCGCCCATCTTTCTTCTTCTTTCACGTTTGGATTTGCTTTCTGGGGCTTGCTTCTGGTAGGGTTTGTTTATTGGGAATCTCCTTGCTGACTTTTTCTGGGTGTCGTATTCAGGGGCCGTGGAGATGGGCGACATCTTTGAGAACGCAGAGGTAAAGTGACTACTTTCTCCTCAGTGCTCCTCTTAGTAGACTACTAACGAGGAGATCAGGTTCTTGGTATTGATCTGAGTCCCATCCAGCCGGAATGGTATGTGCCTCCCTACCCTCCCATCCTCTAAGCCCATCTCGACCTCAGGATTCATGATGATGAAACACGAGGTACGTTTACTAACACGACGCCAAAACAAAGGGTCCCCCCAAACGTCAGATTCGAAATCGACGACGTCGAAAGCCCGTGGGTCCACCACAGGAAATACGACTTCATCATGTGCCGGTACATGGTCGCCTCCATCAAAGACTGGCCCGGTCTGATCAAGAACATTTACGAGTACGTTTTTCGTCGATTTCCCCTCCTCCTGATCATCACACCAGAACATCAACTCCATGTTCATATCATGATGAGTAAATAAAAAAAAGGGGGGAAAGAAGGTCAACTAAACTGACACCAAAAACAAACAACAGCCACCTAACCCCAGGAGGCTGGGTCGAATTCCAAGACGTCACCACAAAATTCTACTCAGACGACGACACCTTTTCCCAATCCTCCGCCACAGCCCGGTGGATGGACGGCTTCAGCCGCGCCTGCAAGGGAATGGGCCGCGACACCGACGTCGCCCCCCACCTCGCCTCCCTCCTCGTCTCGGGCGGCGGCGGCTTCCCCTCGGACGCGGTCCACGCCCGCCGCATCAAGGCGCCGCTGGGCCCCTGGGCCAAGGACCAGTTCTACAAGGACCTGGGCATGATGAATTTGATTCTGACGATTGACGGCCTGGAAGCGCTTTCGCTAAAGTTGTTTTCCGAGTTGTTGGGGCGGACGCAGGAAGAGATCTTGGTGGAGACTGCGGCGGTGAGGAAGGAGTTGAAGACTGGTGCTTTTGGGACGTTTCATGCCATGTTTGATATGTGAGTTTTTGTCTTCTCTCTCTCTCTTTCTCTTTCTTTCTCTCTTTCTCCCCCGGTGGTTAAACGATCTTTGCTAACGAAATCTTTATAGTTACAATGTGTATGCGCAGAAGCCGTTGGAGACGGAAGATGCTTCTACACCGTGATCCTGGCATCGTCTTCGGAATCTTGTAAGCTTAGATTTAAGAGCCATGATAGTTTCCAACAGTACAGTGAATATCTCGTGTCATATCCCCAAAAAGGAATCCCCATTAGGGCGCAAGAGGTGCGGAGAGTTGATTTGCGAGGGCTGACCACACTACATTATTTTGTCAATCGAGGATCCTTCTTCTGAGTCCAGAAACCTAAGGAACTGGAGAGGTTTAGACTCATGCTCCTTGGGTCAACAAGAAGATACATCACGTAGACGAAGGAAACGCGAGGTAGAGAATGTAGGTAATGAGGAGTTCCAGTCTAGACATGTTGGTACTCATCCAGAGACTTGAGGTTACGAGCTTTACTCATTTCATCATTGCGGACTACGACTGCGTATTCATCGCGAGGTAGACTACGGTAAACTAGAACAATCGCAAAACATTCTCTTTGGCACGTGCCCCTCGGAAACCAACTCCGACAACAGTCCCTATCGCTAAACATGTCGCTGCCATACGACCGTCGCTGGAACGTTACGAACCCAAGAAACTCCTAATTTGACCCAATTGTCATCCGCGGCCGCTCCATTTGAATCCTGTTTGCCATCCAGGACCGATAACCGCATGCACCAAGTTACCCTAGACCCCTCCGTTTGGTACTATTTCCTAGCCAGCGCCACCTGGCGAGAGGGCATGAGGGTATCGCCGCCACCATTCGAAACCGTAGGAAAGAAGCGCAAAAAACAACATGCAAAACTAGTCGCCAGCGTACAAGTCCGAGGACAAGAAAAAGCAGAGAGAAGAAAGTACTAGAAATAAACTGCAAAGTAGTCAAAAAATAAATAAAGTAAAAGTAAACTCATTGAATCTGGGCCGTTGAAGAGTGCCCATGTTACGAAGCAATCGTGACAACTCCACACTCGAGGAGTTGTCGTGACTCAGCGATTGTGCGGAGCCGATAAGTGGTGTTGAATCAGTGACCCCATTTCGTCATAATGGCTCTGATAGCATCAGCTGATAAACTCAGAGAAACGAGACCCATCCGCTCTCACAGCGATGAAACGGGGTAGCGAGGAGAGGTCATGCGCCAGTGTGGAGTGGCCCTCTTTAGATCTCCATGTGGGCCACGACATCCTCACTCATCCGCCGTACCGGGCTCTTCCGGTCAGACAGGCTCTCGTCGTCGTCCTCTTCGTCGTAATAGAAGCGCTCCTCAGTGTAGTCGTCATCAGAGAACGGGACCAAATCGCCATCGGCACCCCGATTCCAGAGGAAGCCGTCGCTTTGTTCTTCGTCATCTTCGTACGGTGCCACGACCTCGGCGTCGCGGTCACCCAGCCAGTATTTGGCGCGCTTGTTGCCGGCAAGTGCATCGAACTGGGTACTCCGCGTCCGCTTAACGGAACCCGGAAGCGCCGGTTGCAGACGCGGTGATTGTGACGATACGACCGGAACGACGCGGACATAGAGGTAGGCAACTCGCTTCAAGGCGCGGTTGAAGAAGAAATAGTGAGCAGCCCATATTGCAGACTCATCTTCCTCAAAAGGGTCGACGTCCGGATTATAGCTGAAGACGGTGCATTCGTTAAGGCGCATCTCCTTATCAATTTTGGACCAGCACTGTGGGCCCCACACCGGCTTGGTCTCCGAAGACGTGGCCTGCTCAACCGGTCGTGCCTCAACATGCGGTCTGACATTCTGCAAAATTGAGTCGAGGTTTCCCATCACTCTGCGCAGATTTCTTTGCTTCTTGAAGTCGCCTGGTCTGAGAACGTGCGAGAAATCGTAGTGTTGATGACTCGCGTTCAGTGTCGCAATCAGATAAGCAAATGTCCGGCGACTTGCGAGTTCTGATAAGGGGCCAAACGCGCTCGAGTGTGAGAACATTTGCATGTTGGGAGATGTCGCCAGCATGGCTTCGCGATCTGGCGGTGACAGGCTTGCGCCCAACTTGAGGAGCGCAGCATGTTGTGAACTTAGGTCTTTGTCGATGTTCTTGTAAAGCTTCTTGTCGGAACCTGTGGATTTGGTCGTGTATAGGTCGCATCCGCCTGTAACGTTGCAATCCGGTGTGTTGAAGTTAAGAGCGCCAGTAACGGCATCGAAATCTTGCAGTGGGAGATACTGCGACGTGGGTTAGCAGGTGTCGTGGACTGCTGCAAAGTAGCATGCCTGCTGCAGCAAGTTATGCGCACCTTCATCTTGGATGATTGAGGTTCGGCCCGGGTGACCGAGGTGAAAGGAATGTTGGTTAGGATATGTTCTGTATTGGCGCGCGATAGGTGTGCAAATCACGAGCGCTTCAGCTGTTGATCTGGCGATGCAGGGAGCTTATCGGCGGTATCGCGCCGCAATCAGGTTGTTGTGATGGAGCCGTTGGATTCCGGAGGTTGACGTGACTAATGATGTCACAGGAGTTGGAAGTCGCGCCGGATCGGAATAGGGAGGTGGCTGCGGGTATCGGAATGGCGGTGACTCGGAGTCGGGGGTATGGTGAAGTGAAAGCGAGGTCGACGCGATTAAACGTACGCAATGCGTCGTAGTGAATGATGGATGGGTTGGTGTGAAGACTGTTGTCTGTGTATCGATGGAAGCCGGAGCCTGCCTGCTTTAGATAAGGCAAGGAAGGAGCGACTCGACCCTGTAGATCAGTTCGGTTCTGATGGATGAACGGAGACTAGACGCGTTGCGCCTAGTAGGTGATCTGGTCGACAGACATTACTAAAAGACGGATGTTGTAGAGAGGTGTGTATGTTGGAAGTTGGGCGGTGTCAGGAGGGTGGTCGAAGCAGAGGGGTAAAAAGGGAAGGGATGGGGTGACGAAGGACGGGAGTGTAAGACGACCTGACGAAGCAAAGCGGGAGTGAGCGGGAGGGGAGCTGGCACCCGGTGCTGTCGCAGCAGCTCTCGGCAGGTGCGAGGACTCGCCGGTGTGAGAAGTGACGCCTTGCTGGGTGTGTGGTGGTCTGTCTGCCTGCGTGGTCCGTGGTGTGCTGGCCGCTGTTGCTGCTATTGCTGTTACCGCTGCTGCTTTGCTGGGTCCTGGCTCACGTCTCCGTCGTTCCCCGTACGTACTGACAAGGCCCCCGCCCCGGTGCAGCAGCAGGGTGAATGGATAGCTGCCGTGAGGTAAGGCAATGTTAGGTGGTGGGCCAGTTCCAAGATAGGAACAGATAGTGGGTGGAGCCAACGGGGGAGTCTGTGACAAAGCATATCTCGCTCTGTTCCAGCATGTCTGCTATGCTGGTGCAGTGGTGCTGGACTGCCGCATCGCATTGTGACCGCCTGCTTCGTCCTTGACACCGGATTCGCGGGTGTGGGGGAGACACCAGCTGGGAAGTCGGGGTCCAGTCCCTGTCTGTTCCCTGCTTGTTGGGGGGAGGGCCCCCTTTGCGGCCTTCGGAAACCCACCTAGTAACTCTGTCCAATCCGCCGTGTATAGAGGAGCGGGGCGCAGCCGGTAATGTCCAAGCGAATCAAGGGGCGTCAAGAGGCCACGGGCGGCTACTCCAAAGCCCGTCTCGCAATATGACTTCATACTGTCTCTGCCGTAGGCAGAGTAGACTGGCGTTTGGTTGCGTATCGGGAATGCTCGTCTATTTGTCAATTGATTCGTTTTTTCCGTGGAGTGCAGCGGTTGTCCATTGTCGTTGTCCGTCTTGGCCCCGTGCCCGGCTCATGCGTCGTTTCTGGGGGGGGAGGGGGGGGGGAGACTCAAGATGGACAAACGTTGTGGATTCAACCAAGCAACAAGCACCGCTATCTCATGTTCTTCTCTTGATGTAGTAGAGGGCGGTTTTCCGCCCTCAACGATCTATGCACACAAAGGGCCACCCGGGGATCATTCCCGTCCATAACAGCATCGGCGCATCGTTCCTTCATAGTCGCGTATCGGCCTTTGATTCCCGGCCTGCTGTGTATCCGAAAGCCATAACGGGACGTCAAAGGATGCCAACTTGTTTGAGGGACGATGTGATCTCTTCCGTTTCCTGCATACGCGGCAGAGTGCCCATTAGCCAACAGACTCATCAATGGCATGCCCTCCTTTGCGGCTCGTGCAACACTTGTATAGATGTCGTAGATTGGCTTCGAGGCTCGATTGATCCCGGGCTTCGTGTCTCAATCTAGCAGATAGGTACACATTGGAGGAGGGTTACATGATCTTTGTAACCTCGTCCTCGACCTGATGGGGAGTAGGAAAATCGTCAGCTCAAGACTTCGCCAATGGCGCAGCTGCAGTTCGTCGTCTTGAAGGCAGGGAAACAACTAAAACAGTAAGGCATCAACTGAACGTACCTCCATGTCCTCGAGCGAATCCTGCTGAGATATACACCGCAGCACGTTCTTTTTACTGCTTTCTTGCAGTTCTCCCGCTAATAATAGCTCGTCCAATATGTAGTAGGCTTTCGTGAAAGAGAAGATGATATCTAGCTCGCAGACGTTGCCGTAGTACTTGTCCATCTGCTCGACGTAGCGGTGAATGATCTCGAGGGTAATCAGTTCGTTGTCCTCTGACGCCGCTCCTGCGATAAAGAATAGCGACGCATATCTGCGGTAAACGATCTTGGAATCTGGCGGGAAGAAGTCAGTGACTGTTGATGGGCTAAGCGGCCGGGTTGCGAAGGCGACTGACCCTTGTACTCGAGGAAGTTGCACATGCGTGTTCTACGGGCGAGGACTAGCTGAGAAACGTCCTTGACGATCTTGGCCTTTTCCTTGGGCGACAGGGTGGTGAACCATTTTGCAAGGCGCTGCAGAGGGATCGTGATCAGTAAAGGCTTGTTCGAGGGAGATTCGGGCGGCAATGGGTGCATACCACTTTGCCCTGGCGCGAGAGGAGGATGAGGTATCTAGATTGAATGAGTTGTCTTGCTTTGATGCATTACCAGATGCGGCCGAGGGGTATAACGTACTGGATAGCCATGATGATGCCTTCACATCACCACCACAAGGTGGACGGGGAAGGAGATGGAGAGTCGATTGACAGGAGTGTTGTGGACCTTAAGTTGACGTCGTGGGAAGTGTTCGGTGCTGTGGTGGTCGAGCAAATCAGACCGAGGGCTGGATTTCGGTTGGCGACGAAATGCGATATGTTGCGTGTGACGATACCCCTTGGTCACGTCAGGCTGACAGGCGCAAGGTGTCGAGTTTGGTGGCAGGTGTACGGTGTACCTTGAGCTTGAGGCTGCGGTATCCTCAGGCAATCAATGCCCACCAGGATAAGGTAGGTAACGTACCTAGCGGGAGACACCTCCTGACAGCGGGCTTGGAAAGCTGAGGTGATGCCCCGGTGCACAGGGTCTAGGGAGCTATTCGCTTATGTAATCCAGTCCCCAAGCGCCGGGAGCAAACAGTGGAAGGACCGCTGTAAAAGCTCCGTCAACTACCTGACTTAGGCTCAATACTTCATCCCGATATCTCGTCCGGATTGGCCAAGGAACCTTTAGCAGACAATGTCCATGTGTGTAAGCCACCTGGCCTACGGTACTAAACGGAACAAAGCCCGCTCTTCCACTGTTACTGGCTTTGTGTGACTCGAGATCGAAGCCTTTGAATGCCGGTGATGGTGTGGTGATGTGATTGAATGGAAAAGAGACATTGGATGAGCGATTCATGCCGACAACGGCGTCTCATAGGCCGCCCATGCTTGCGGTCCTGCGGAAGGTGCAGACAAATTGCTGATGCGATGGCCAAAACCCCCACCAAGTGCCACTGACCTGCCCCTCGGAGTCGCGCTCCTGCCGAATCTGCGGCGGGAGGAGGGGTTGGATGGCGGGATGTGGTCGGTGCCCGATGGAAGCTGCGAGGCAAGAAACGCCGTTGCCGCAGAATGGAAAGATGAATGATTTCTAAGGATACTTGGATACCTGGATACACAACTACTCGAACGACTCGATTCAGTCGGCACACCGAGACGGACTTGGATGGAAATTTCTCTTTCATTCCCGATCCGTTGTTCAAATAAGGGCCATTCCGGTCCTCCACACGTCTCCCGCAACCTTTCTCCTCCACCGTCTGTTATTCCATGGGGTCCAGAATCACAGTTCCGCGGATACCTCGAAAACAAACACCATCGTCGATCCACCCGAGCGCCCCATCCCAGAAGTGTCTCGCGCGTCCTTCTAGAAACCCCCCTCTGCCCGCCTACTACCGCCTGTCGCTGCATACACTGCATATCACGACTTTCCCCTCGTACCATAACTGCAGATACAGACCACTCCGTCTTATAAGCCCTTTATCTCCGATTTTGGGGGTCTCGACACACAAGCCGACATCCGCCTGCCGTGCGCCAGCGATTAATAATTACCCCGTCTCACCTTTGAACCCGAGCGGACCGTACCTTTCCTTATCGGCCCCTCGACCTAGTTTACGCAGATTCCGATTGTTAATCACCCCTCCAGAGTCTAAAAATCGACAGGCACCAAAAAAAAAGTTGCTGAAGAAGTGGACGCCATCACCTTTACATTGCGCAATCAGGACCCTTTACGTCGCAATCTTTCCTCGACTACCAGCTCATTGCATCCGATCTTCAGCTACAAAATTGCAATATTTTAGTTTTCTATAACCATCATCACCGTCGCCATGACGAAACTCATCCTCTCCACTGGGTTTGTCACACCTCTCAATATTTCCTACAAGAGAATCGTTATTTGCGCCCTGATGCTGATTGGCGATCCTCCGCTGCATGCAGAAACATTGTCTCGGGCGGCCCCTCCATAATCCGTAAACCGGGTGCCTACAGATCGAACCTTGAACTCACCAACTCGCTGCGAAGCAACTTCCTCGCCGCCCAGCAGGACTACTCGCCTTACGAAGAGTCCTCGCCCATCGATGACGACGACGACGAACACGTGAATGGAAACGGCTTGAACGGCCACTCCAATGGCTTCTCTCACAACTCAAACGGCCGCCGACCTCGCATCGACATTTGGACTGCCCGCGAGGACGATGCGCTCTACATCCCGAGGATAGACTGGTCCTACTCCGGACTGCAAGAAGAGCCCGACAACTACGACGTTACCGTGAAGCTGTTTTTCCTCCCCAATGCCCTTCTACAAGACCGGGCTCAGTACGTGCAGGACGCCTTGAGCCTCGTGCGAAAGGAGCTGGGGGTCACGACGATTGATCTTCTGATCGCGTCCTTCCCGGGCATGTCATTTGAGGGCGACTGCGAGTGGGAAGCCGACAAGCGCAACGCCTCTCAGGGCAACATTGACGAGGAGGCCGCGACGTGGACGCTCCTTGAAGATCTGTACAAGCGCGGGGAAGTCAAGGCTCTCGGCATCTCCGAGTTCGGCACTGAGAAGCTGGCAAAGTTTATCAAAAAGGTCAGCATCCGGCCGGCTGTTGACCAGATTAACATCAAGGATTGCTGCAGCGTTCCCCCCACGCTGGTCAAGCTGGCCAAGACGGAGGGTGTCGAATTGCTCGTTCACACCGATTGCACCGACATCCTGCCCAGAGGCACCCTCCGCGAACTCCTCGGCCACGGGCTGCAGGGCGCTGGCGTCCTCGCCGACCCTGCCGAGGACCAGGACGGTCTGGAAGGCGACCTCACACCTGAGTGGGTAGTCAAGTACACTGCCTTTGTCAAAGATCGGGGTGTCATTGAGAATAAGGGATACTTTGCCGGCGCAGAGCTAGTCGAGACCTCTTAGTAGACGTTGTCTACGATGCTTTTGGACATGTGATTTATTTTTTTGATACCATGGCTGAACAATACGGCCTATAGATATACACTGCATAGCGTTTCTGATGTCTGGCGATCCAGGGTCTCTTTGACGGACTATACGAAGCCCCCTTCTTGGTATCTATTAGAGTACTTTTTTTTCTTCAAGATATTTATTCTACCCGAGTTTACTTGTCATCCTCTTTCTGTGATGTGTGGCCAACACCTATGACTGTCTATTCTCTGAGCAAAGCCTCAGCAAGCCTCTTCCCCCGCTCGCCTCCAAGGTAAATATCGTCCTCGATGCTCTCCAGGCCCATATCGACAGCCACCTTGTAGCCCCTAACGACCATGTCCTCGTCCACGCGCAGCCCATTCTCCACCAGCGCCAGAATGACGCTCCGTATCCGCGCGACCTCGCGCATCGTCTCGTCGTCAATCTTGTCGTTCTGGCTCGAGTAGACATTCGCGCTGACGCTCTCCTCCATACGATTCAGCCCCACGCTCTCGGCGCCGGCTCCGTCGCTCTCGACGTGCTTGCTAATCCAGATGAAGCCGTTGACCCCCAACGTGACGTGAACTTTTGCCGCGCCCCGCGCCGCGTCCATGACCCACTGCTGCCTCTTGGCCCTCACCACACCGCCGCCGCCGCCGGTACCCGTGACGGCCACGAACACGCCGTTGCGCAGCTTGCCATACTTGAGGGAGCGGGTGTGCAGCGACGCGGCGCCGTCCTGGTGGAGCTGCTGGACCTCTGCGACGACGAGGTCGCCCTCGGCGAAGAAGGAACGGATCTGGAGCTCGTCCGTGTCGGTGCGCTTGCGGAGGATGCCGCCGGGGAGGTTGATGGCCGAGATTTGGAGGATGGCGAGCTGGGAGGAGCCGACGTCGACGCGCCAGCGTTTGGCTTGGACCTCGACGATGCGGCCGATGACGAGGTCGCCTATTTCGGGGGTGTAGCGGGCGCGGAGGGGCCGGACGGAGAGGAGTTTGTTTGTGCGGGTTACGGTGCCTGCTACGGAGGAGACTATGTCTGTTGTGTTTTGGGTGATGTAGGTTCCGTGGCCTCTGTTTTGGGGTTGCGTTAGTCTTGGGGGTTCTCTTTTTCTCTCTTTTTCTCTCTTTCTTTCTTTCTACAGGTTCCTATGGGTACAGAATGGGGAGGACAAACCTCATCCACTGGGGGTCGTCAGTGATGATCTCACCCGGGGTGACGATCTCGTAGGTGTCGCCGTGGGAACGTTTCGCGGGGCGCATGGAGATGTCGCCCTCGATATCGGCGCCGCCGTCCGAGTCTGAGTCCGAGTCTCCTGCGCCAGCGGCGGCGTAGGGCTTGTGATGTGACGACGTGCCGCGCGGGGCGAGGATTGTGATGGGCATGGTGATTTGTGGTTTACGGCGGAATGCCGTAGGTGCGTTTGGGACACAGTCGAATTTCTCGGTGTCGTATGATTCGGCGTATTCGGAAGTATGGTTTGGGAGGGTTTGTTGCGTTGATTGCGCGGGTTGGTTTGTAGTGGTCGCTGTTTGGTGGTTGTGGTCGTGGTTGAGATTGATGCTTGCAAAAGAATTTTTGATGAAGCTTTGGAGGGGCAGATTGGAGCGTGCAATCGGCGAACGATGCTTGCCTGCTGCACCTCGGATTTTTTGACAACACCGCAATAACCACAAGCGCCACTGGTAACTGGTAAGTTTGATAATGCTAGCTTTATAATGGCCATCATATTTGATTCATTCAATTGTCACTTTTTATTACATGACAGTATTGTACAGTGTTACAACAATGTTTGCAGCCAGTAGCTGCTAGAATACCTCTAACTGCACCATGCCGAAAGATCGTCAGTCCGCCCAAGCGAGCAGTGTCGTGCCGGTCGTAAAGCCAGCATGGCTAAGGTATCTTGACCAGAGCCTTCTCTCACGAGCTTCCGCCGCTATAGCCTATCGTAGGCGCCCGAGATACGCTCGTGTGAGGACGTCGGCGGAGTGGTGCCAAACTTCTGCCCCCCGGGTAGCGTGGGCTCTCCAACATCCGTGAGGATCTCTCCTCCAGACGCGCATGGCGTAATTATTTGAGTTGCGATTCTGCTTACTGTCCCAATTCCTTTTCATCCCTTTCATTCGTCCGTCGTCTACTTGAACAACCTCCACAGCCCAAGGTAGGCCAGGCCCATCGAGATGCTAGCGACGCCCAGCTTGCGACTTCCCATGCCGAACATGGATCCTGACTTGAGTATCACTGCGCGTTGCCTTTCGAGGTGGCCCATGCCGGAGAGGTAGTTGTATGCCGCGAGGCCGAGGAATGCGCCGCCTCCTATTTCGTTGGAAAAGATCAGCATCAGCAATGGGCTCTCCTACTGCTGCCGGGCCTGCTGCGAGTCTTGGAGGAGAAGTGGTGGTGGCTTACCAATGACTTTGCACGATGTGCAATCGTCGCCGCGGTCCTCGCGCAGGAGCTGGTCGAGGCTTTCGGGCTTGTCGAGGGTGCCCACGGTGGGCATCTTGTCTCCTCCTCCGACCATGGCGGCGAATTTGTATAGGGTAGCTTACGGCTGGTTCTGACGGTCTTCAAGGTTGGCTATCGGATGCTTTTTTGCGACAAACGAGCTCCTGATAATGGGAGTGGTAGGCCGTAGAGGCCTAGGAAGCTTGGTGCAGCGACAGGGTATAGAGCACTTTTGATTGGTTGGGCCGAACCGTTCCCTTGCACTAACATTTAATTCCATCATTGAGCATGTGCGGCGCCGCCAAGGTACGCGCGGGGCCGGATTGTGTGGTTCCTGGGCCGTGGGAGCTCCAGCGACAGACAGACAGACACACTGACAGCAAGCAAGCAACCTCCCACCCCACCACTCCCGACGACCACGGCGCAGCCCTCCGATGCCGACCTGAACGATGAACGGCGTTATTGAGGCGCTGCACATTTACGATGAGCACAAGTCAGTCTACCTACCAGATCACCATCATCCAGACTCGTCACAGCTAACAATAACTCACCACCCGCAGCCATGCCATCCTGTCGCACACGTACACCTCCCGCCCGCTGTCGGCGCAGCACCTCCTGCCCCTCTACCTAGAGCACCCGGCCCCGCGCCCGAACCTCGTCTACCTCGCCAACACGAACCCGCCGACGCTCGTCTTCAGCCTCAAGCACGCCAACCTGCTGTTCCTGGCCACCTCGTCCTCCGAGATCGAACCCCTGCTCGTCCTCGAGTTCATCCACCGCATCGTCGACGTCTTTGAGGAGTTCCTCGGCGCGCCCCTGTTGGCGCACAAGATTGAGAGCAGCTACGATGTTGTTGCGCAGCTGCTCAACGAGATGTGTGACGCGGGAACGATCAACACGACGGAACCGAACGCGCTGAGGGATTTGGTCGAGGTTGAGGGATGGGTGGGCAAGTTGCTTGGCAGCATCACCTTGCCGGGGTAAGGGAGACCACTTGGAAAGAAATTTTGATGAGAAAGATTGGTCTGACGGAATTTCACGCAGGAAACCTGGCAACTTTGGCACGGGCTTCGCCAACCCGAGTACACCGTCCCTGATCGCCCAGAATACCCCAGCATTACCCTGGCGTAGGGCCAATGTGCGGCATACGTCCAACGAGATGTACGCGGACATCGTCGAGACCTTGACCGTCACTCTCGCTCCCTCAGGGCGGCCACTGGCAGCATTTGCAAACGGAACGATAGCCTTCACGTGCAAGGTGTCAGGCATGCCCGACATTGTCATGACATTAACGAGCCCCTCTGGAAAACACAATCTGGCCGGTTTCATGGATCTCCCTGTATTTCACCCGTGCGTCCGTCTGTCACGGTGGAAAGAACGACCTGGTGAGCTCAGCTTTGTACCGCCAGACGGCCGATTCATCCTGGCCAGCTACGAAGTCGACTTGCTACCCTTCACGAACGGCAAGAGCGGTAGCTTAAGTGCGAATAACCTCAAGCTACCTGTCAACATTGAGATGAAGACGGGCTTGGGTCTTACGGGCTCCGACTTTGAGGTGCGGTTACACGTCAACAAGGTGCTTGGAGCCGGTGGCCCCTCATCAGCAAATCAGTATGGCAGAGGTGGTGGTGGCGGTGGCGGTGGGGGAGCAGGTCGAGGCTTCGGGGGCCCCCATCCCGGGACTCCCTCATCGCCTCTGATGGAGGACCTGATCGTCACGGTGCCGTTGCCGGCAGAGGTTAGGAATCTCTCCGAGTTGCGGCCCAGCAAGGGAGATGCGACCTTCAACCCCAGCGAAAGGGTCCTCGAATGGCACGTCCCCACCAAGCAGATATCCTCTGGCACGTCCTACTTTGGTCTCAGGTGCACCGTGGTGGGCCAGCTGCCGGACGAGGACGAGGACGAGCTCGACCCCAACGGGTTCGGATTCGGCAAGGCGTACGGCTACGATGAGCAGCCGTACCAGAGCAGCAGCAGTCCCACCCGGGCGAAGAAGACGGCCGACGGCGGCAAAGAGGAGAACGAAAAGGACGCGAAGAAGGTGGCGCAGAATAAGATGCTGATGCCGAGCTCGGCGTCGGTGAGCTTCTCGGTCAAGGGGTGGCTGCCGAGCGGGCTCAAGGTGGAGAGCATCATGATTGACCCGCGCAAGAGTAAAGGCCTGGGGGAGAACGTGAAGCCGTATAAGGGCGTCAAGTATTTGACGGTCAGCAAGGGCGGTGTAGAGACGCGGTGTTAGACGGGAACGCGAAACATGATAGCAACATAAACTAATGAGAATTATTTTAGCTAAATTTGTTCTCGGACAGTGCTCCCTGGGAAACAAGTTCACATGCTTTGGAGGGCCTCGGTTTTTACTCCGCCTAGTGGCGGACTAGTGATGCCAATTCGTTGCGGTCTGAGATTACCAGGCGGCGCCCATCAAAGCAAGCCAGGAGCGTGACAGGGAAAAGCCACCCGACCCAAGAAGACGGATTTTCGACACACGAAAAAAACGTCGCCCTATCCAGTGTGACGCTTAAGCCGAGGCGTTGACTCAATCTTCAGCGCGAGATCGCAGTGCAGCATCGGCGACTCTCCCGTAAGTCGGCGGCAATTGACCCCCTGACCCCTGAAGGAGATCTAGCAAAGCACCCCGCAGCGGAACTAGAAACGCGCCTGTAAGAAGAGCTGCCCAGGCTGTTGCCAATCGCGGGGTAGGTACCTTTACTCCAGTGTTTTCCTGGGTCTCCAGCTCACCTCTCAATCCTCGGCCTCGGGACATTCGGTTAGTGGCGGCCACAAGGACCAACCGCCATTCACACCTGGCGTCATGGCTCCATGGGCCGATTGCTCACCACGTTCCTGTCTCTGCTCTCCTTCCCCCCCCCCCCCAAACCCCCCCCCAAACCCCAAAGACCAAGACCACCACACGGCCGCCGCGCGTAGGCTGTGCTTGCGTGTGACACATTTTCCTTCCAACTCGGTCGCATAACCCGCGGACCTCCTCGTTGACACCTCTAGTCTTAATTCTCTTCCATACTTGTTTCTAGAAGGTCTTCTGTGGCGTTGAGTCTTTGTCACGCTGCTCTGTTCTGCCTCGAAGCAAACACACACCTACATACACACCAAGAGTGACTAACCCCTACTCCATGATTGCGACCATCTAAGCTGCCCCAGCTCACAATTGGCTGGCGCTCTTGTCTTGTCTTTCCAACGGGCCATGACTGCAGCTCCCGGAGCTCACCACTCTCTCCGCCGAGGCGCCGCCGCCGTATGGGCCGATGGGCTCGGCTGCCTCGGCCGCAGGCGCACCGCGCCGGGCAATGTAGCGTTCGGGTCGAGTAGACGGCATGTGTCTTCGTCGCAGGGGAAAAGGCCACGGACGGCGCTCTTCTTTCCAGGTGCGTGTTGCGATGGAGCATCCATATATTTGGAAAGAGAATCTGAAGGCAATGAGAGGAGCCTGTCGAGGAGACTGACAAGTGTGTGTGACCACCACAGGCCAAGGAGTACAAAAGGTCGGCATGATAACACCATGGCTCGAAGCCTTCCCCCGAACCGCGAAACCCATCATTGAGGAAATCGACCACTACATGGGCTTCAAGCTCTCCGACGTCATCGCCGAAGGGCCCAGCAAACTGCTGACCAAGACCCCCAACGCCCAGCCGGCCATCATGGCGACCTCGATCCTGATCCTGCGCATCCTCGAGCGCGAGTTCGACTTTGACGTCGCGCGCCGCGTCGACGTGACGCTCGGCCACTCTCTGGGCGAGTTCGCCGCCCTCGTGGCGGGCGGCTACCTCGAGTTCGAGGACAGCCTGTACCTCGTCCGGAAGCGGGCCGAGGCCATGGCGGAGGCGACGCGGCGGGCCGTGGAGACGTACGGCGGGGAGTACGGCATGGTGGCCATCGTCACGGAGCCCGAGTACCTGGGCCCGCTGATCGCGGCGATACACGACTTTGTGGGCCACTCGAGCGCCGGGTCAAAGGGGGAGAGCTCCGAGGACGTGCCGCCTATTGAGCAGGTGCTCATCGCCAACGTGAATAGCAAGAACCAGATTGTGCTGAGCGGGAATATCGAGCGGATCAAGACGCTTTCGACGCATGTTAGGCAGTTTCTGGGCCACGACCCCCGCGCGGTGCGGTTGAATAGCGATAGCCCGTTTCACAGCCCGCTGATGAAGCCCGCCGTCGGGGTGATGCAGAAGATCTTGTCGAGGAAGAGCCGCGTCAAGGGCCGTGAGGCGGAGGATATTATTACGTTTCCCGGGCGGTTGCCGTGCATTAGCAACGTGAGCGCGCGGCCTTTTGAGAGCAGGGAGGACGTCAAGGATCTGCTGGCGCGGCAGTGTCTGGAGACGGTGCGGTGGTGGGACAGCATCAAGTACCTCGACCAGGAGGAGAAGGTGCGGCGCTGGATCGGTATCGGGCCGGGGAAAGTTGGGCGGAATCTTGTTGGTAAAGAGGTTGGTATGAGGGGCAAGGACTCGGTCAAGGGCGGCGGCGTGTGGGCGATTACGGACCCGAGTGAGATTGAGGAGATGTTGAGGGGTTTGGAGGAGACGGAAGGGTTGTCGGATGAGGAGATTGAGTGAGGGAGGGCCTATGGTCTACGATGATGATCGTCTGTTCTGTTTCTTGGTGCAAAATTTGGGAAATGGGGGCTATCAAGGGCGCTTTTTCCACAACTTTTCTCGATGGGCATGTTACCTAGCTCATGAGAAGGAGGTCGGGCTTCTACGCCTTCGTTATGGAGACTGGAGTAATGGTTTTAGTTTAGTTTGGGTGTAATACTACTTCTCTACAAAGGGGAAACATCATATGACTCATTCTATGCAGTTCTGGAGAATTACTTTCAATGCCTTCGTAACATGTAAACCGTCACTTTTCTGAGTTGATATGTCGAAAACATGGAGCTATGCAAGCTTCCTATTGCTGATGCCAATGCGGGGGGCAGTAGGAGGGCCCCCAAAAAAGTAATTAAGCTCCCGCCCACACCAGCTGTTTCCAGGACCACCATCCGTACCTTTACCCAGCTCTCCATTCTCCAACCACATCACAAAACGGAACTTTTGACCGACGACATAATCGCATTCCAGGCCTCGACGCGGAACCTCACCGAAAGACGACAGTCGCAACCGCAACCAAGGGTGAACAAAAGGAAGCACAAGTCAGGCGCGCAGAATGGCGACCGCGATCCCCTCCATAGCATGCATAGGCATCATCGGCCGCAACGTACGTTCCTTCTCCTCCTCTCGTCCCCGTTCCCCTGGCGCAGACCACCACAAACCTTGGCCTGCGCCTTGCTACTCGAATGCCCCCTCCCACCTGAGCCTCCCCTATCCCTTCTCTCATGGACACGCAGTCCCTCTCAGTACCCTGCCAGCAGACCAAAAAGACACCCAAAGGCTAACGCAACGAAACATCCAGAACAACCCTCTCCACATCCAAATCTTCCCCTCCCACAACCCCTCAACAAACACCTTTGCGCCGATCCGCACGCCCCTCCAATTCTCCCTCCTCCTCTCCTCGACCCTAGACATCTTTGAGCTCCGTCACGGCAACAACAATTCCTTCGCAGGCGGCGGTGCTGCCGCGGCGCCAGGGTCAACAGGGACAGGTCTGTCCGGCGAAGTAGGTCTCCTCCACGCCGTCGACGAACGGCTGGCCGCGTACGGGTGGGAGACCAACACGGGCGTCAAGATCGTGGTTGTGGTTGATATGCGCGGGCGGAGGGTCGGCGGCGGTGGCGGGACGCCGGGGACGGAAAGTGCCGCCGCCGCCGCTGCTGTTGCTGCTGCCAAGGGCCACGGCGCGGTTGGGTTAAGGGAGCAGGAGTTGCGGGTCGTGTTTCGGGCTGTGCAGAGCGCGTATGTGAGGTTGTTGCAGAATCCGTTTTATGAGCCTGATGAGCATTCGCCTGTGAGCGGGCGTGGCGGGAGGGTGATTAAGAGTCGGAAGTTTGAGGGGGAGGTGAGGAGGGTTGGGGAGGGGTGGACGCCTGGTGTTACGACTCTTTGAGGTGCCGCGCTTTGGCGATTGAAGTTGCAAAATGGGATGATGGTTGATCCATAGCCTTTCTATTCTTTCTTGGGAGTTTGGGGCGTTGATCATAGAGGATAGATGCATGGGTTTCGAGGTGTGATGTGTGGCTTTTTTTTTTTTTGCCTAATTCGATGACCAGATGATACTGGTACTGTAAGATATCTTTATTTATCATGAAGACTCAAAGGTCTTGACGTCGTCTAAGCGACATATGACATATGCTAAATCCAGCACCGCCAAAATGCTATGCTATGCTCCGTGAGATGGTTCTCTCAAATGTGATGAATCTCAAAACCAAAAAGACGAGGGGGAATACAGAGGGAGGTAGGAGACCAAAGCAAGGCCATAGACATGAACCTGCTTCCATCTGCTCTCGGTACTCCATCTGCCCTCCATTCCTCATATACAGAAAAGGCAACCAAAATCCAGAACTCTAAAGATGTCCGCTATCCTAAGACGACGACTCTTCCCGCCGACGCTCAGCCTCCTCCAAAGCCCGCCACCTCTCAATAACAAGCTTATCCGTCCCAAACGGCTCGTCAACAGGCCTCGACGGACCCATGACGGCATCGCTCTGCTTCCGCGGCAGCAGCGGCTCATCACGCTTCGGTCTCGACGGCGCCGAATCCTCCCAGTGCCGCGCCGTACGCGGGACAGGCGTCCACCACTCGGCCGGACTGTCGCCTCTGGCGTGCCACGCGGCGCTGCAGAGCTCCCACAGCCGACTCGCGGCACGGCGGTACGCGAAGCGCTCGTCTTCGCCGATGAAGCCGGCCGTGTTGCTGAAATTCGGACTCGTCGTGTTGCTGCTGCTCACGTTGCCGGCGCGGCCAAAGTCCGAGTCCTGGTCCGGATCGTATTTTGATGTCGGGGCGTCGGTGTCGTAGTAGGAGATGTTGGGGCGGAAGGGGGCCGCGGAGTCTTGGTAGACTTCGGCGATGGTCTCGGAGTAGATTGCGTCCGAGGAGACGACTTCCTCTCCGGACGCTGCCGCTGCTACTGCCGCTGCTGCCTCTGCGGCGGCGGCGGCCATTTCGGCTTGCGCGGCGCGTATGTCGGGGAAGAAGAGGTCGTCGGGGCCGGTCTGGGCGCGGACGAAGAGCTTGCAGCGGGCTTCGTACAGGGCGTCGAGGAGGGTGATGAAGCGTCTGGCCTCGTTCTTGTGGAGCGTCGTCATGGTGGGGACGTTGTCGATGATGAAGGTGTGGTAGGTCGATGCCATGGTCACGTAGTCTGCCGGACCAAAGGTTGCGACGAGGGCGTCAAAGTCCCAGTAGGCTACGCCGTCTCGTTGGCGCGGGACGGGGATGGTGCGGCCGTAGACTGTGAGGGTTGCTGGGGTCCAGGGTTGGGAGAGGAGGTCTGCTAGCTCTGATGACCATTCTGAGGTCTCGGGGGTTAAGAAGTATTTTGCTGGTTTTGTTGTTTCTTTGGATGTTTCTAGGACTTGTCAGCTTCGTGTAATTGAGTCGGTGCGTGATGGCTTGCTTACCCTCTTGAGCACCTGTTGGTTCTTCCACAAGTCCCGTTCCCTCAATGGTTATGGCATCAACAACAGCTTTCACTTCTGTTTCCCGACGTCTCCAGTCAGTGGCTCCGTCCATGTGCCAGAAGTCACAGCGAGCCTTTAGCACCTCGAGAAAGGCAGCAAAGTCGTTTTGACCATGACGAGTTCCCCGTGAGCGAGCTCCGGCGAGAAATAGACTCTTTAGGAACCCATCAGAGGGAGGGACAGTGTACTCGATGCCAATGGCCTTTTGCAGCTCCTCGGGCACGCGGTTGGACGACGCGATGAGTACGCCGCCGAGATGGAAGAAGGCGATGAACAAGTGGCTGAGGATCTTGCTTGCGGCGCGGTCAGGCAGCTGGAACTCGTCGAGGAACAGAATGGGAGACTCTTCTACGAGCTTCTTGGCCAGCCATAACATGGCGTACTCCTTTTCGTTCCCGTCCAGCTCGGCATGGGACTGGCGGAACTTTTCCAGTTGTGAAAAGGTGTAGAGCATAAAGGTGTTGAAGTGCCACCGCCGCTTCCTCTCCGTTGGCAGGCCCTGTGCTAGGAGGTCGATCAACATTGACTTTCCCACGCCGACCTCGCCGGAGAGGAAGAGACCTCTAGGAGAGTTGATGGTGATGGCGCCCTCTAGGCTGGTCATGACGTGGACTAGGGCCATGGGGTTCGAGTCCTTTGGATCCGGCATGGCCTTGCGGGCGAGGTGTTTGAAGAGAGGGTTGTCCCAGATGGGGTGGCTCGGCATCGCCAGCGTCGCGGCGGCTTCTTCTGGGTCGCGGGCTTCTGGGATATCGGCTACTTGTTTCAGACGCTCGCGATAGTCGACTTCCGGGGCGTAGTCTTTGAGGCGGCCGTAGAGCTTTTGGAGGTGGATTGCTAGTCTGTGTTGATCTTGGTCGGGTGAGAGGACTTTGGTTGAGACCAGCGTCCTGTACTTGACGAGGGGATCGGTGATGGCCATGGCGGTTGAGTACCCCCGCATAGTGGAGGCCATCTTCCTTGCCTTTGGCATCCTCATCGTGTGAGAGATCATGGTTGCAGTTGTTCGTCCAGGGACATGTAGTATGAGATTACTGTCAAACTTGAGTGCCATGAGCGAGGTGATCGGGCCGGCCTTCACTTTATTTCACACACTCGTCTTGGAGATGTATATCTTGTCGATCCGTGGTGCAGCTGAGACAAGTTTATGCCCAGATTTCAGTCTCACTCCCGAGGCGGGCTCACTCGTGAACCTCACCCAAGGGCATGAACCGGACCGGTGGTAGTCGTGTGGTTCCACTTTGAGGCCAGCTACGGTATGGGACTTCAAGGGCCTGAGCCGCTACACTGAAGACTTCGTGTCTTGTCTATTCGATGATGGGTCTCTCGACGCTGAATGTCTTGGGTGAGACTTGATTTTTAGGTTGAAAGAATAGGTAAGGTACGGACAGAATAAGAGTCGAGAGTTTCGTGAACAAGAGAGGCTATTGGCTATGCAAACTCACGAGGTCTCGCGGCCAATCACTGTAGTTGAATATGTCTCGGGAGATGGCTCCGGGTCAAGAATGCTACGAGTTGCGGAACATGAGTGAAGAGAAGCGAATGGTGGGGTCGAGTTAGTTCGTCTAGCAACTTGCTGGTCGTGAGTTGGAAGTACGTCGCCTTGAAGAATAAGGCATGTGCCGAGGATATGGAAGCAAGCAAGTGCAAGTCACAGCTACCAACGACTCAGTAAAAGTAAAGTCAATTGTTAGTGGGTAATTTACTCTGTCTAAACACACCAGAATCGTTCTATCAATGTGTCCGCCGACCCTTCCCGAGGGCCAAGTGACGTTGTTGACTTAAGTTGGTTTCCCAGGCTCCACTTTCAGGGTCCTAATTTGTTCCAATGCATCGATTCAGCGGGCTTCAAATCGATCGCGGAGTCGGCCAATGGGGGGAGCCTCTCCCAGTCTGAGGTGCTGGAAGCAACGAACCTGTGGTGCCTGCCCAATTGAAGGATAAGATACGTATCTTTGTACTGGGCCTGACACGAGGCAGGCACGCAGGCACAAGGCCTCTACTTTCCTTACCTAATCCTCCAGGTCGTGTAGGTACAGAGTACCTTGAAAAGTTGAGGTACCTTAACGCAGGGTGGGACCTTAGGTACACCCGTGCTGTGGTTGCCCCTTCCGCCGCCGCAGCTGGCACGCCGGCACACCTACACACCTGCCCTGACCTGTTGCTCACCGGGGTCATGGAGCCTGACACCACTCTGCTAGTGGTCAGACAGGAGCTTCTGGCGCTGCTGGTCCGTGCTTGGCAGATGCAGCAACCTTGTGTTTTTTTTGCGAGACCCAATCGATTGATGCTTCGTCACTCTCACATATTTGCTAAATCCGCTCTGCCACTTGCGTCCACCGTTTCCGACCTCCGCTTTCCCTCACAAATTGAGAATACCTTAGGCCACAGAATCCATCCATCCTCGAAATGTTTTTCTGATTGACACCGGCCCATCCACGAACATCTTCACCATTACGGCGACCGCGACGACCATAAATCCCCATCAACCATCTCGCGCTCGGTCGCTCGACAACATCACCATGTTTTCTCCCTCCGCGAACGAGGGCGGTCCCGCCACCGCGACGCGAAGCAGAAGAAGGCAGCGACCGGCTAGTAACGAGAGCCTCGCCCAGCAACCCAAAGCGAAGCGCCAACGTCTGCCTCTTACCGAGCAGACCTTCGTCAATCCAGATGTGTCCGCGCCCACGGGCCCCGAGATGTACGAAGTCAAGTCCGACAAAGTTGCGACGCTCGACACACGCCAGGACGGCATCGAAAACCAGAACCCCATCACACCCACCCCCAGAAAAGAGCTCAGCGTGCGCGCAAAGAAGCCCAAGGGAGGCGACAGACCAACCAAGGGCGATGGAAGTGTTGTTTTGGTACGGAAATACACGGTCGCATCGATCCCCCCCTGGTTAGCTAACGAGACCCCCAACAGACGACGAACAACGCCTACACCGTGAGCAAATTGCCAGCACTGCCAGAACGTCTACGCGCAGATGCATCAGGTACGTAACGTTTGCAGCTTCGCCTTTTTCGCGTCTAACAATCAAGTGAAGCCCAGCAACAGGCCGATATTTTCTCGAACCGCTACGCCCTCAGCCTCAGCCATACTCATGCGATTGTTTGGCCGTATACGGATCCCTCCCAATCCCCCGAGACATTCACTTTCACCCTCCCGTATCCTTCAAAACACACATCGGAACCTCTGCCATTGGGATGTCTCGTCTCCCCATCGGCCTCGTCGACGGAGCCCGGCCTGGTTGTTGTTATGCCCATTAGCGGTAAGATCGCGTATTGGGAATCCATCACGAGCGCCGCGACCTTGGATTTCATGAAGAAACAGCGAAATGGCGTGGAAGGGTCGATATCAGGCATGTTTTCTGGCGAGAAAGTCATACAAATCACAAACGCCGAGTCCGCCGGGTTTGTTCTGGCCTTTAGCAGTGGCCGACTAGCCTACATGAGCGTCCGAGACAGCCACGGGAGACCGACGATTTCGGTCCAATTCCTCCGGACAAATCTGGGATCTACAGCTGGTGGAATTTTCGGCAGCATTCGTCACGTCTTGACGCAGACTGCAGGGCGCGGGGATATCGCTGCCGTACGGGCAGAGCGCACTTCTCGAGTCGGCGAACGTAACGTCGTCGCGGCCACGTTGAAGGGCAGACTTCACGCCTGGAATGTACACCGCGGTGGACACCATGACACGATTGTGGAAGCAGACATGCAGGAAGAAATTACCCAGGCGATTCGCGACGTTGATCCGTCAGCTACCGACTTCCAGCCGGAGACTTTCGAGGTTGTCGACTTTGCTTTCGTTCCCAAGGGCTTGGAAGCCAAGTATCGGGACATGAGCAGACTCAGCAACGCCATGGCTTCGGAAGACAAAAACCTGCAGCATCTCTTACTTCTCGCCAGCTTCACTAAGAAGAAGGAGTCGCATTACTCTTTGGTTGAGGTCATCCTTTCCCCAGCCTCCGCGCAAGTCGGCATGGTTCGTCCGATTTCCTCATACAAGGCGCGCTTCAATCCTGCGAACCCTGTGCAGTCCACCAGGCCTCGCTTACATCTCCCTCGACCGGCCCTTGTAGCTTTTGTCGTTTTCGACAAGGCTGTAGTTGTGGCATCTATCGGCAACCCTCCGGAATCACCAGATGCCCAGCTCCAAGAGGATAACCACATAATTCCTCCCACTTACGAAGATGTCATCACTCTTTCGGATAACAATCAGTCAGAGATCTTGGGATCTGGCTTTGAAGAGCCTCAGACGGCGAATGCTGGTCATGAAGAGTCGAGGAGCCGTCAAAAGACGAAGAACCCAGCAGTCGTTCTGATGGTCCGCGGTACCGGTATCGTGCGACTAACAACAACAGACATAGACAGATTTGGTAGTGACCAGCCGCCCAAGGTCACGCCAAAGAGCAAGCTAGAGCAAGCCGTCTTTTTTGGGAACAAGCAAGATACCCCCTTGATTTTCGACGGAAGGAAAGGCGTTCAATTTTCGGATGAGGAGGTGTCTGAAGCTGCGCTACAACTCAGCCACGAGATTATGAGCTCATCGACATCGCACATTTCATCTCTACCGGCATCTTTGGAAGACAACCTCAGCACCCGCTGTCAGACCCTCGATCGGTTGATGTCTCACCTCAAGACAACAAAGGTCAAGCTGGACCGTCGCACCCGTTGGCTTCTGCTTTCGCATGCCGAAAAGATGATGGTGGCAACGGTTTTATGGAAGCGCCATGAGGCCTTTACGAACGAGCGACCTGCCAACGACAAGAAGGACCTGATTGCCGAGATCGTCGAGTTCATTCACCAAGACGAAAAGACGAACCCGAACCGCAGCGTAGGGGAAGTCGATCGCGTCAGGCACTGGTTTGTCCATGACGTTGGTAAGCTTGAGATCTTCATCGCCTGGGCCTACGAAGTGATCAAGTACATGTACAAAGACCACATCATGGACGATGCCAAAATTACTCGACTCATGTACGAGGCTCAGCAAGTCAATCTGGTGGCCCTCATGACAGCGCTAGAGTACCGGCAAAAGAAGCTCTCTTTCTACGGCCTCGAAGACGAAGAGCTGCAATTTGGCATCTTGCGCGACAACTACGATGGTCTCGCGGAACCCTGGACCGGATGCCATTACATCTGTAACAACCTGAAGCGGTTGCTTGAGCTGAGTCACACGTGGCTTGATCAATACTACCCTCCCAAGGAGAAGACCAAGGACAAGTCAAAGCAGCCGGATCCCGCGCTCCTGGAGAAGATCAACTCAGAGATTGCGAATTTGAGCGACCTGTACCTCGTGTCGCTACTCGAGGCATCTCGATGGAACGCTGTACAACAGGACGCAAAGGCGCAGAAGTGGTCAGAGCATCTCTCCAAGCTCTACGATTCGGACCGAAACGACAAGGTTCTCTCACTTCTCCGCCTCGGCAAGTGGGATGAGAGTATCAACATTGCCGAGAAGCACCGATGCTGGAGAGCACTGGCTTTGGCTATGATTGAACAGATCAACAGCCTCAGGAGTGAGGCGACGGTGTCAAGGTCACAAGTTGATGCTCGCGAACTCACTAAGCAAGCGGAGCTGAAAGAGAAGCAAATTGGTGTGTACTTTGACAAGTATGGCGAGGCCTTTGCGTTCCCCACGTACGATATTCTGCTCGACAATGCCGGTGTTCAGGCCGTGTTGGACTTCAGTCACGACAACCATGGGTACCGGACCAACTTTCTACGCAACAAACCCGAACTCGCCAAGATTTCGTGGATCAACGACATCCAACGTGAGCGTGACATTGAGCATGCGGCGGAGACTCTTTTCGACCTTGGCATCACCCGCGAGCAGCAGGTCTGGAACAAGAAGATCGAACTTAGTCTCGGGAAGCTAGCTTTGTTAGCTGAATCTGAGAAGCCTGTCTCGTCCGATCTCTTCAG